CTCGGGACACAGCCCCGTAGACTTGTATGGGATGGTCTCTGACCTCGGGACACAGCCCCGTAGACTTGTATGGGATGGTCTCTGACCTCGGGACACAGCCCCGTAGACTTGTATGGGATGGTCTCTGACCTCGGGACACAGCCCCGTAGACTTGTATGGGATGGTCTCTGACCTCGGGACACAGCCCCGTAGACTTGTATGGGATGGTCTCTGACCTCGGGACACAGCCCCGTAGACTTGTATGGGATGGTCTCTGACCTCGGGACACAGCCCCGTAGACTTGTATGGGATGGTCTCTGACCTCGGGACACAGCCCCGTAGACTTGTATGGGATGGTCTCTGACCTCGGGACACAGCCCCGTAGACTTGTATGGGATGGTCTCTGACCTCGGGACACAGCCCCGTAGACTTGTATGGGATGGTCTCTGACCTCGGGACACAGCCCCGTAGACTTGTATGGGATGGTCTCTGACCTCGGGACACAGCCCCGTAGACTTGTATGGGATGGTCTCTGACCTCGGGACACAGCCCCGTAGACTTGTATGGGATGGTCTCTGACCTCGGGACACAGCCCCGTAGACTTGAACCACGGCATGTAAACAAACAGGGGAACCGCGGCCGTCCGATGGAGGTCAGTGTGAGTCTGAGGAGGGGACAGGAAGGGGTCAGGAGAAGGGAGTAGGAATGATAAGTGCACTTATCCTTTAATTGTGTGTAACAGAAATGTGGATTGTTGACTTAGACTTTGAGCGCCCTCCAGGTCCTCACAACGAGGGCCGCTTCTTCAAATACTGCTTGACATTCTCAGTAGCCAAGAGGTTTCATTATTAATCTGTGACCTGAGGGGGGGGATTCTGAGTACCGGGACTGCTAGGAAATTGCTACTGTACGTCTATACAGGACATCGATCTACAGAAATATCTAAATCCGAGAACCAACATGTCATACATGGCAGCGTACCCGTCCTTGGGTGTGTTGGCACAGAGCCGTCTCTATAATGAGGCAGCCTGAGGCGGTAGGGAGGGGAAGTAAGTTACTCCTCTGAATCATTCAGGTCGGTTTGTTTATTGCTGAAATTCCCGCACTCCAAAAAAGAAAAAAAAATAACACGTCGATTTTCAGAAATTGAAAAAATATATATCTGCTCCAATCCAATCACAGCAAGGGGGAGGGCCTAGTTGGTTTTTAGGTTGAATCAGGAATGTGTTGGAGGAAGGACTCTTTGAACTGTTGGCTCTGGTGTAATCCTCTCTTCTCTCTCTTTCAGGGGTGCTCCCCAATATTGAGAAAGCTTTTGGCATCAACGACAGCCAATCGGGATTGGTGCAGACAGGTACAAACACACACTCATTATTGTGGCCTCTAAATGTACTGACCTCCCTGTGGCGTCTATATGAAGGGGCGTCCCCCATAGCGGACCTGTATGAAGGGGCGTCCCCCGTAGCGGACCTGTATGAGGGGCGTCCCCCGTAGCGGACCTGTATGAGGGGCGGACCTGTATGAAGGGGCGTCCCCCGTAGCGCGCCTGTATGAAGGGGCGTCCCCCGTAGAGGACCTGTATGAAGGGGCGTCCCCCGTAGCGGGCCTGTATGAGGGGAGGACCTGTATGAAGGGGCGTCCCCCGTAGAGGACCTGTATGAAGGGGCGTCCCCCATAGCGGACCTGTATGAAGGGGTGTCCCCCCTAGCGGACCTGTATGAGGGGCGGACCTGTATGAGGGGGCGTCCCCCGTAGCGGGCCTGTATGAAGGGGCGTCCCATGTAGAGGACCTGTATGAAGGGGCGTCCCCCGTAGCGGACCTGTATGAGGGGCGGACCTGTATGAAGGGGCGTCCCCCGTAGCGGGCCTGTATGATGGACACAGCCCCGTAGACTTGTATGGGATGGTCTCTGACCTCGGGACACAGCCCCGTAGACTTGTATGGGATGGTCTCTGACCTCGGGACACAGCCCCGTAGACTTGTATGGGATGGTCTCTGACCTCGGGACACAGCCCCGTAGACTTGTATGGGATGGTCTCTGACCTCGGGACACAGCCCCGTAGACTTGTATGGGATGGTCTCTGACCTCGGGACACAGCCCCGTAGACTTGTATGGGATGGTCTCTGACCTCGGGACACAGCCCCGTAGACTTGTATGGGATGGTCTCTGACCTCGGGACACAGCCCCGTAGACTTGTATGGGATGGTCTCTGACCTCGGGACACAGCCCCGTAGACTTGTATGGGATGGTCTCTGACCTCGGGACACAGCCCCGTAGACTTGTATGGGATGGTCTCTGACCTCGGGACACAGCCCCGTAGACTTGTATGGGATGGTCTCTGACCTCGGGACACAGCCCCGTAGACTTGAACCACGGCATGTAAACAAACAGGGGAACCGCGGCCGTCCGATGGAGGTCAGTGTGAGTCTGAGGAGGGGACAGGAAGGGGTCAGGAGAAGGGAGTAGGAATGATAAGTGCACTTATCCTTTAATTGTGTGTAACAGAAATGTGGATTGTTGACTTAGACTTTGAGCGCCCTCCAGGTCCTCACAACGAGGGCCGCTTCTTCAAATACTGCTTGACATTCTCAGTAGCCAAGAGGTTTCATTATTAATCTGTGACCTGAGGGGGGGGATTCTGAGTACCGGGACTGCTAGGAAATTGCTACTGTACGTCTATACAGGACATCGATCTACAGAAATATCTAAATCCGAGAACCAACATGTCATACATGGCAGCGTACCCGTCCTTGGGTGTGTTGGCACAGAGCCGTCTCTATAATGAGGCAGCCTGAGGCGGTAGGGAGGGGAAGTAAGTTACTCCTCTGAATCATTCAGGTCGGTTTGTTTATTGCTGAAATTCCCGCACTCCAAAAAAGAAAAAAAAATAACACGTCGATTTTCAGAAATTGAAAAAATATATATCTGCTCCAATCCAATCACAGCAAGGGGGAGGGCCTAGTTGGTTTTTAGGTTGAATCAGGAATGTGTTGGAGGAAGGACTCTTTGAACTGTTGGCTCTGGTGTAATCCTCTCTTCTCTCTCTTTCAGGGGTGCTCCCCAATATTGAGAAAGCTTTTGGCATCAACGACAGCCAATCGGGATTGGTGCAGACAGGTACAAACACACACTCATTATTGTGGCCTCTAAATGTACTGACCTCCCTGTGGCGTCTATATGAAGGGGCGTCCCCCATAGCGGACCTGTATGAAGGGGCGTCCCCCGTAGCGGACCTGTATGAGGGGCGTCCCCCGTAGCGGACCTGTATGAGGGGCGGACCTGTATGAAGGGGCGTCCCCCGTAGCGCGCCTGTATGAAGGGGCGTCCCCCGTAGAGGACCTGTATGAAGGGGCGTCCCCCGTAGCGGGCCTGTATGAGGGGAGGACCTGTATGAAGGGGCGTCCCCCGTAGAGGACCTGTATGAAGGGGCGTCCCCCATAGCGGACCTGTATGAAGGGGTGTCCCCCCTAGCGGACCTGTATGAGGGGCGGACCTGTATGAGGGGGCGTCCCCCGTAGCGGGCCTGTATGAAGGGGAGGCCCCAGGAGATGGGGCGTCCCCCGTAGAGGACCTGTATGAAGGGGCGTCCCCCATAGCGGACCTGTATGAAGGGGTGTCCCCCCTAGCGGACCTGTATGAGGGGCGGACCTGTATGAGGGGGCGTCCCCCGTAGCGGGCCTGTATGAAGGGGCGTCCCATGTAGAGGACCTGTATGAAGGGGCGTCCCCCGTAGCGGACCTGTATGAGGGGCGGACCTGTATGAAGGGGCGTCCCCCGTAGCGGGCCTGTATGAGGGGCGGACCTGTATGAAGGGGCGTCCCCCGTAGCGGGCCTGTATGAAGGGGCGTCCCCCGTAGCGGGCCTGTATGAAGGGGCGTCCCCCGTAGCGGGCCTGTATGAGGGGGCGTCCCCCGTAGCGGGCCTGTATGAGGGGGCGTCCCCCGTAGCGGGCCTGTATGAGGGGGCGTCCCCCGTAGCGGGCCTGTATGAAGGGGCGTCCCCCGTAGCGGGCCTGTATGAGGGGGCGTCCCCCGTAGCGGGCCTGTATGAAGGGGCGTCCCCCGTAGCGGGCCTGTATGAGGGGGCGTCCCCCGTAGCGGGCCTGTATGAGGGGGCGTCCCCCGTAGCGGGCCTGTATGAAGGGGCGTCCCCCGTAGCGGGCCTGTATGAAGGGGCGTCCCCCGTAGCGGGCCTGTATGAAGGGGCGTCCCCCGTAGCGGGCCTGTATGAAGGGGCGTCCCCCGTAGCGGGCCTGTATGAAGGGGCGTCCCCCGTAGCGGGCCTGTATGAAGGGGCGTCCCCCGTAGCGGGCCTGTATGAGGGGGCGTCCCCCGTAGCGGGCCTGTATGAAGGGGCGTCCCCCGTAGCGGGCCTGTATGAAGGGGCGTCCCCCGTAGCGGGCCTGTATGAAGGGGCGTCCCCCGTAGCGGGCCTGTATGAAGGGGCGTCCCCCGTAGCGGGCCTGTATGAAGGGGCGTCCCCCGTAGCGGGCCTGTATGAAGGGGCGTCCCCCGTAGCGGGCCTGTATGAAGGGGCGTCCCCCGTAGCGGGCCTGTATGAAGGGGCGTCCCCCGTAGCGGGCCTGTATGAAGGGGCGTCCCCCGTAGCGGGCCTGTATGAAGGGGCGTCCACCGTAGCGGGCCTGTATGAAGGGGCGTCCCCTGTAGCGCGCCTGTATGAAGGGGCGTCCCCCGTAGCGGGCCTGTATGAAGGGGCGGACCCGCGTGGATGTGTATCTATATAACTTAGTATTCCACGTATGCACATATGAAGGGTGGGCTGACTTCTGCAGCAGGGGGTGGGGTTTCTGGTCTGTAGTACGGAGACATGTTGCTGAAGACTTTGGAAGTGCAGCTCTTGTTCTCGCGCTGTAAATGAGAAGTTGTGGAAAGGAATGTATGTCTTTATATACACTTCCATATACTGTTCCGTATTTCGTTGCTCTAATGATTTTTCCATTATCTCCAGCGTCTGTATAATCGTCTCTCTTCCTCCCTCTCCAGTATTTATTGGCAGTTATATGGTGCTGGCGCCTGTATTCGGTTATCTGGGTGACCGCCACAACAGGAAGTACATCATGTGTTTCGGCATTTCCTTTTGGTCCATCGTGACCCTCTGTAGCTCCTTCATACCCAAACAGGTAAGTTCTGCTGCCCGCCCTCATTCAGCCTGATACCCGGGTGATGTCATGAGTGCCGAGCGTCCATTCAAATGCCATCAAATCCTTGTAACGTTTATAGCGCTGAGAGAGAGACATCGCCCGCAAACACAGGGGGGCAATACAGACCAGCCCATCGCCCCTTTTTTCTGCCTCCTGCATGGGTAGGAACACACGGAGTAACGCCATTAGGACTTCAGGTGGAGATTTTATGTAAAAGGCTCCTCTCTGACGCCTTCCTTCTCTCCCCAGATGGGCGATGGTCGGGGTCCCCCTAGGGAACAATTAGGGTCCTGCATGAGACCACCATCCCTGTGCTGAGTTCCCGGGTCTGTACACCCGCTGTGCCCATTATGAGGAGCTCCCCCCATCCCTGTGCTGAGTTCCCGGGTCTGTACTCCTGTGCCCATTATGAGGAGCTCCCCCCATCCCTGTGCTGAGTTCCCGGGTCTGTACTCCTGTGCCCATTATGAGGAGCTCCCCCCATCCCTGTGCTGAGTTCCCGGGTCTGTACTCCTGTGCCCATTATGAGGAGCTCCCCCCATCCCTGTGCTGAGTTCCCGGGTCTGTACTCCTGTGCCCATTATGAGGAGCTCCCCCCATCCCTGTGCTGAGTTCCCGGGTCTGTACTCCTGTGCCCATTATGAGGAGCTCCCCCCATCCCTGTGCTGAGTTCCCGGGTCTGTACTCCTGTGCCCATTATGAGGAGCTCCCCCCATCCCTGTGCTGAGTTCCCGGGTCTGTACTCCTGTGCCCATTATGAGGAGCTCCCCCCATCCCTGTGCTGAGTTCCCGGGTCTGTACTCCTGTGCCCATTATGAGGAGCTCCCCCCATCCCTGTGCTGAGTTCCCGGGTCTGTACTCCTGTGCCCATTATGAGGAGCTCCCCCCATCCCTGTGCTGAGTTCCCGGGTCTGTACTCCTGTGCCCATTATGAGGAGCTCCCCCCATCCCTGTGCTGAGTTCCCGGGTCTGTACTCCTGTGCCCATTATGAGGAGCTCCCCCCATCCCTGTGCTGAGTTCCCGGGTCTGTACTCCTGTGCCCATTATGAGGAGCTCCCCCCATCCCTGTGCTGAGTTCCCGGGTCTGTACTCCTGTGCCCATTATGAGGAGCTCCCCCCATCCCTGTGCTGAGTTCCCGGGTCTGTACTCCTGTGCCCATTATGAGGAGCTCCCCCCATCCCTGTGCTGAGTTCCCGGGTCTGTACTCCTGTGCCCATTATGAGGAGCTCCCCCCATCCCTGTGCTGAGTTCCCGGGTCTGTACTCCTGTGCCCATTATGAGGAGCTCCCCCCATCCCTGTGCTGAGTTCCCGGGTCTGTACTCCTGTGCCCATTATGAGGAGCTCCCCCCATCCCTGTGCTGAGTTCCCGGGTCTGTACTCCTGTGCCCATTATGAGGAGCTCCCCCCATCCCTGTGCTGAGTTCCCGGGTCTGTACTCCTGTGCCCATTATGAGGAGCTCCCCCCATCCCTGTGCTGAGTTCCCGGGTCTGTACTCCTGTGCCCATTATGAGGAGCTCCCCCCATCCCTGTGCTGAGTTCCCGGGTCTGTACTCCTGTGCCCATTATGAGGAGCTCCCCCCATCCCTGTGCTGAGTTCCCGGGTCTGTACTCCTGTGCCCATTATGAGGAGCTCCCCCCATCCCTGTGCTGAGTTCCCGGGTCTGTACTCCTGTGCCCATTATGAGGAGCTCCCCCCATCCCTGTGCTGAGTTCCCGGGTCTGTACTCCTGTGCCCATTATGAGGAGCTCCCCCCATCCCTGTGCTGAGTTCCCGGGTCTGTACTCCTGTGCCCATTATGAGGAGCTCCCCCCATCCCTGTGCTGAGTTCCCGGGTCTGTACTCCTGTGCCCATTATGAGGAGCTCCCCCCATCCCTGTGCTGAGTTCCCGGGTCTGTACTCCTGTGCCCATTATGAGGAGCTCCCCCCATCCCTGTGCTGAGTTCCCGGGTCTGTACTCCTGTGCCCATTATGAGGAGCTCCCCCCATCCCTGTGCTGAGTTCCCGGGTCTGTACTCCTGTGCCCATTATGAGGAGCTCCCCCCATCCCTGTGCTGAGTTCCCGGGTCTGTACTCCTGTGCCCATCATCTCTGTGCTGAGGTATGGTGGGATGAACCCCTATAAGTTCTCCATGAAGTGCGGTAATGTTCTCAGCCTGCGGCTCTTCTCATTGGTGCTTTCCCTTCCCCCGCTCAGCATTACGCCCTGTTCCTTCTCACACGAGGTCTGGTTGGGGTCGGAGAGGCCAGTTATTCCACCATCGCCCCCACCATCATCGCCGACCTCTTCGTGGCAGACCAGCGCAGCCGAATGCTCTCCATCTTCTACTTCGCCATCCCCGTCGGCTGGTGAGTGTGCACTGTGATCGTTTTGGGGGAGTTTGATGAAAGGATAAAGTATTTGTCTGAACTCTATATAATCATTATCAGGGGGTCTTACAGAGGCGGTACGATAGCAGGGATGAGTAGAAGGGGGTCATATAAAAGGAGACGTGCACTTTAAATACAC